TCCTGATTTTGTAAATGTTTTGATATTGTCTGCTGTCTTCAGGGCATTCAGTAGTTATTTTTCTTTTTTATTGATTGTAGATTTGTTTGTTTCATGCTTTTTTTTTGTTTGTTTGTCTATGTCTGAGCTGGTGGGCTGTGTGTTCTTTGTTGTTTGGTCATCTGTGCGCATGATACTTTTCTCCTCCTTCTCCAATTGGCAGGGTCAGTCACTCAGATATGGTACAGCAGGGCAGGTCTAGGTGAAGATGAATTACTGGGATGGGTTGTTTGTGGCACTTACTACAGTCACCAGGGTGGGTTGGTGATCAGTACAGGGCAGGTTCTGGTAGGCCGTGCAGGTGCTGCTTGGTGATATGATGTTAAGTGCACAGTGTAGGTAGGGAGGATGGAGGGAGGAGATTTTTATGTGTGGAGCTAAGATGGATATGGGAGACAGGAGAGAGGAACAGGAGTCAAAAACATACAAACAAAAAAGAGTGCTAGGGGAGCTTGCCATTGGAGTGGAGAGATGAGAGACTATGAAATGGAGAAAAACAAAAAGGGGAAGAAAAAGAAAAAGAAAAAAAGAAAAGAAAAGAATGAATAAATAAAAATTAGAAAGAAAAAAGAACAGCAGAGCTCCCAGGGATCCCACTGGTGTGGCTACAAAGTCTGGGGAAGTTGTTCCCAGGTGTTGCAGTACAGCCTGGCTAGAAGGCGTCGAGGTATGCAGTGCCAGGTATTCAGGGAACAGGAAAAGAAGGAAGGTATAGAGAGATGAGAAACTGAGTAATGAAGAAAGACAATAAGGGAAAAAGAGAGAAAAGAAAACAAAACAATTTTTTTTTAAAAAAAGAACAGACAAACCCCCACAAAAACTAGGGGAAAAAACAAACAAACAAAAAAATGCTCTCAGGGATCACTCTGTGCGTCTGCGCAAGCCGAGGGGGCAGGTCCCAAGCCACGCAGCACCGCCCAGCCAGAATGGGCTCCCAACTCGAGAAAAGGGAAAGAAAACAAACAAACAGTTCAAAACAAACAAACAAAAGCCCCAGGATCCCACCAGCGAGGCAGCCCAGACCAGGAAGCTGCTCCCCACCCAAACAGAGCTCTGTAGCCCCTCAGGAAGAAGCAAAGATCGCCCACTGAGTCACGTATTTGAGCGAAAGGAGGAGGAGGTGGTGAGAGGTAAGGAAGAAATTAAAAGAAGTGGAAAAATGCAACACTAGCAGCCAACAAATGGCACTCAGTGAGCTGGCCAGTGCGGGCGGGTGAAATCCAAGCAGCCGGTGCTTCCTGGCCAACAGACTGTGGCCATGGGAAGCAGAGGAGCCCGAATGGGGGTGAAGAAGTGTGGGGGGTAGGAAAGTGTATATTGCAAATTACCGGTTGTTTTGTCGCCTGCTGGAAGCTCTGTGAAGCTGCTTTCTTGTATCCCCTCTATGCTGGTCTGTGATAGGAGTCAAAGATGGTGGATCCATTCTGTGTTAGCTAATAGGGGACCTGTACATGAATCTCTCCTCGCTGTCCGTTCTCTGTCAGTTTTCTCACTCCATTCGGTGCTTGGCTGAGTTCTTTATCTCTTCATTTGATGTTTTAGGGTTTCAGGGTTGCTGTTTTCTCTGTTTGGCTTAGTTTTTTAGATCTTTGTTGTGGAGGGACGGCGTGGTGCTTCTGCCTAGAGCACCGTTTTGCCTGGTATTTCTATTTTTAACTTTTTAAGTAAGCACCATATTGTTTTCCAAAGTGGTTGAGCCATTTTACATTCTCACCAGCAGTGCATAGGAGTTCCGGTCTCCCTATAACCTCTCCAACATTTGTTTTCTGTTTTTGGATTAGTGCCAATATTGTCTGGGTGAGATGTTATTTCATTCTAATCTTGATTTACACTTCCTAATGGCTAGTGATCATGAGCATTTCCTCATGTATGTGTTAGCTGTCTGCATGTCTTCTTTGGTGAAATGTCTGTTCATATCCTTTGCCCATTTTTTAATTGGATTATTTGTCTTTTTGTTGTTGAGATGTTGCAGTATCTTGTAGATTTTTGTTGTAGCCAAAAATTCTTTCCCAGTATCTTAGGCTGGGTTCTCTAGAGAAGCAAAACCAGTAAAGCATATAAGTATATATAGAGACAGACTTATATCAAGAAAACTGTTCACGCAGTTGAGGCTAAAACGTCCCAAGTCTGTGGATCAGGTTAGAGGCCTCTTCCAATTCACAGAGCTGCAGAAGCTGCTGAACCCAAGGTCAGAAGGTCAGAGACGGGCTCCCGCTCACAGGCTGTGAAGGTCAATGTATTCCAAGATTAGCAGACAAGACCACAAGTTTTCTCCTGATTCACATAGCTGCAGGGACTGGCAAACCCAAGATCAGCAGGTCAGGAACCGGACTCTTGTTTGCAGGCTGTGCAGATCGGTAAATTCCAAGATCAACAGATAAGCTGCTAGCTCAAGTCCCAAGAACCAGAGGTGAGGTGACAGTAGGCAGCTGCTGAGTCTGGAACAAGCCAAAAACCTTGGCAAGGCGAGCAGGCATACTTTAACTGGCAGAAGGCAGAGAGATGAAGCTGAGGGGGCGGTGAGCTGCCACAGGCCCCATCCCCACTAGAACCACTCAGCAGTTTCCATCATGAGGGTGATTACATATCAAATTTCAGCAGGAAAGTGATCACAACATTTACAACTGCTAAAACCCTGAGAATCATGGCCTAGCCAAGTTGACATACAATCTTAACCATCACACCCAGTCTGTAGGTTCTCTTTTTACTCTTTTGGTGGAGTCTTTTATTTAATTTTTAGGGGCTCCCAGATGTCTGTAACCCTGGTGACACAGTGGTTAAGAACTACAGTTGCTAACCAAAAGGTCGGCAGTTCATATCACCAGTCGCTCCTTGGAAATCCTATGGCGTAGTTCTACTTTCCTTTGTATTAGGGCCTGTTTTTTTCTTCAATGATCTTTATCATTTTTGATTTTATATTTAGGTCTTTGATCCATTTTGAGTTAGTTTTTGTTTATAGTGTGAGGTATGAATCTTTTTTCATTTTTTTACAGGTGGACATCCAGCTATGCCAGCACCATTGGTTAAAGAGATTGCCTTTTCCCCATTTAATGGACTTTGGTCCTTTGTCAAACAACAACTGCTCATGGATGGATGGATTTACATCCGAGTTCTCAACTCTGTTCCACTGGTCTATGTGTTTGCTGTCGTACCAGTACCAGGCTGTTTTGACTACTATGGCTATATAGTAGGTTCTAAAATCAGGTAGTGTGAGACTTCCCACTTTTTCCTACTTCCTCAGTAATGCTTTACTTATCTGGGGCCTTTTTGCTTTCCATATAAATTTGGTGATTTGTTTCTCCAACCTGTTAAAGAATTCTGTTGGAATTTGGCTCAAGATTGCATTGTATCTGTAGATCACTTTGGGTAGAATTGATATTTTCACAATGTTGAGTCGTCCTATCCACGCGCATGGTATATTTTTCCACTTATGTAGGTCTCTTTTGGTTTTTTGCAGTAGTGTCTTGTAGTTTTCTTTGACCTTGTAGGCTTTCTTCATTTTTCTTCAATATTTTTTCTGTTTTTTCTCATACCGAGCTAGTTCAAAGGTTTTGTCTTCTATTTTGCTGATTCTTCTTTCCATTGTTTCAATTCTGATTCTGTGTCCTTCCATTAAGTTGTTTAGCCACATTATTTTTATTGGAAAAAATTTCATACAGTATAAATCTGTTCATGTCATGGAGCATTATGTAGACCTTAAAAGAATGAAGGAGAGCTTTGTGTATGGCATGAACTGACAAAGCAAGTTGTGTACAGTTAAGTGCAGTGTATTTTATATTTTTTAGTTGTGTTAAACATTTTTCATTAGGTATTTTAATAATTATGTGTTATACTATATAGAGGGTCACTATGAGTTGGAATTGACTCTGTGGCAAAGGGTTTATACTGTATATATACATGCATATATATATATTTTTGTTTCACAGTGCCTGTATCAAATGTGTCAATTGAGTAGGTCTTGGGGTGAGGCCTGAAGGCCGGTTCCTCTAAAATCTTTTTCAGGAATTCTGTTGCCAATCCAGGTTTGAGAATAATTGATATTGATGGTGGATTGCCTCCAATAAAATACCCTTTGCTTTTTCATTCCTCTAGGGCTTGGAAATTTACACTCCAGGATTCCAGGACAAATACAGTAAGTTAGTTGGTGTTGGTCATATGCTAATGGCAATCAATAGTAATGTTTTCATGTAGTCTTGATGTAACAAATAGAATAGGAAGCTGAGACAGGAAACTGGGGAAGATCTGTGGTTTCTGGCCATCCAGCCATGAATGGTCAGGCAGAGCTGAGCAGAGAACTCTTCACTGACAGTACTAAGCTAGGTTTGCCAGTTTTTCAGGAGGAGCCATCCTCACACAGGTATTCTGGTCCCAGTGTTATGTTCTGGAAATATTTGTATCTCAGTAAATTTTGCAACACTTTGAATTCTGCCATGGTTTGTAGTGAAGACTCAGAAAAAGGACTAACCCTTCCCCCAGAAATTGCTATTGAGTCTGTTCTGACTCATAGTGACCCTAAAGGACACAGTAGAACTGCCCCATAAGGTTTCCCAGGCTATAATCTTTATGGAAGCAGATTGCCACATCTTTCTCCCGAGGAGCAGCTGGTGGGTTTGAACTGTTGACCTTTTGGTTAGTAGCTGAGTGCTTAACCATTGTGCCACCTGGGCTCCTAGAAAAAAGGAGTACAGAGTCCTTTTTATGCATAGCATCTCAATCTTGTGAAATAAATATTTTTGAGACTTGTATTATCTCTAGTCCTGCTTTTGACCTTAGGAAGTCACTGAAACTGTAAATCCCAGTTGTAGAGGTTAGTAATGCTTTCTTTGTGGCTGTCAGGGAATCAAGGCAATATTGTCTCCATGATCAACATTTAAGTTCTTCAGAATGATTTTTCCCTTTATATTTTTAGTAAGAAAAGAAAAAGTTCATGGCTGTAAAAGAATTTGTACACTTGAGAAAAGAAAGTAAAAAGGCACTCTTGTTAGGCCAAGACTTATTACTCTGCATCTCCAGTGAACTTTTCTTTCATGCAGATCCTCTTCTTGGATGAAATTAGTATTAACAGTCCATATTCTTAGGGTTGAGATCACAGTATATTTTTTTTATATGGATTTTTAAAAAAAGAGCTTATGTGTTTTTCTCTTCCACTACAGAGTAATTTGTTGAAGGGATTTTTTTCCCTTTTATATTTAATCAGTTTTTCTTAGTTAAAATTTTGTCTTCTGCAAGACATTGCCTTGTCTTTTTTTTTTTTTTTTTATTGTGGTGAATATGTAGGTAACAAAACATTTGCCATTTCAACAATCTTTATGTGTAGAGTTCAGTGACATTAAATATGTTCATCATGTTTTTTTGTAATGTAAATAACAAGACTATGTAGAACATATCCCTGACTGCTACATTTCAGATTGTAGGAATTTCATTTGTGAACAGAAGCGTTGTTGAGAGTGGTACAACATCCTCTAAAACATGTTGAGTAATAGTGGTAGCCTCTGATGGGCATTCCTGGGCAGTGAGTTCTATTCATGCTGGGATCTGAACAAGGACCACCTTGCTCCTGAATTCAAAGGACGCCAGAGTGGTATTAGGGACACCACTGTATTAGTGGGAGTTTTTCTTCCACCTTTCACTACTTCTAAGAGGGCTGTTATATTTGCTGTTGAAAGATTAAACTCTATGTTCTTTAATTTTTAATTTGCTAAATAAAAAGGATGTATACATAGAATCTTTGAACCTATAGTTGCTTTGTGGCAACTCACTTGTCATAATTTCTCTCCTGTCTCATGCAGGCTTATGTTGGCTCAGAAGTCATATATGATGAAATGTCTGTGACTTCATCTCCACCTCCTTACACAGCCTATGCTGCACCATCCCCTGAGGTAGGTGAGAAATATGAACATCATGAAATCCAAATGAGGGAAAGTTGAGCTCTTTCTGCTGCTGTATTTCTTTGTACCTTGAGCCAGCATCAGAGAAATTAGCAATGTTCTCTAAACCCCTTTCTTCTTTAAAGAGATTTTTCCTTATAATCTTTTGCTTTCATGAAATAAACTGTTTCGTACTCTTGTTTATGTTCAGCCCATTTTAATTTTAAGATAGACTTATAAAGAATCATGTTAATTATAGTTGCTTTGAATACTGAGATTTTGATGATTTATAGTTTATACTTTTTGAATTGCTTGAATTCTCTTTATAATCAGAAAAAATGCAATTTTTATTGCAGAAAATAAAAAACCTTAAAAAAATTATATGCTATATTCAGCCAAACCATAAACAGGCCCATAAAATAAACAATAACACCTGACAGGAACATGCTCCTTAGAACAATCAATTATATGAGATCAAAAGGGCAACATTTGCCCAAAAGCAAAGATGAGAAGGCAGGAAGGGGTAAAAAACCAGGACAAAAGGAAACAGGGAAACTAGGACGGAAATGGGGTGAGTGCTGACACGTTGTGGAGAATGAAGCCAATGTCATGGAACACTTTATATACAAACTATCAAATGGGAAACTAATTTTCTGTGTAAACTTTCACCTAAAGCACAATTAAAAAAAAAAAAAAAAAGTACCAGGAAGTGTGCATGAAATTAAATCCAATCTAAAAGCCTAAGATTAAAAGGTTGTCAGGGCACCCTTTTCATGGGCATATAAGTGATCAGTTATGACATCTATGAACTTGTAGCCAAGAGACCTTGATTTCAAGTCCTTGCCTTGGGCAAGTCACTCAAACTCTATGAGTCCCAGTCTCCACATTGTAAAATAGGGTTATCTGCCCAGCTTACCTAACAAGATTATTTTAAGAATCACATGCATGCATTTGAGCAATTATTTAAAAAAAATTCATGCCGTATATCTTGGGGTGCCCTCTACTTAGAGGTGCCAGTTATCCAGTGCTGTATATTAACAGTCTCTGCTGTATGAGGCTTCCTACTTTTTTTTTAACTTTTTATTTTATAATAATTATATATTCACAGGAAGTAAAGATAGTATGGGAAGATCCCATGTACTTTTCACCTAGTTTTCTCAACTCTTACCTCATAGACAATATAAAAAGCAGGAATTCGAAATTGGTACCATGTTTGTGTTTAGTTCTATGTCATTTTAACACACGTACATCTGTGTGACCACCACTGCAATCATGATATAGAACAGTTCATCACAGAAATCTCCCTCCTAATACCTTTTTATCGTCCCACTCTCTCTCCCATTCCCTAACCTCTGTCTACCACTTATCTGTGCTCTGTCTTAAAATTTTATCATTTCAACAATGTTATATAAATGGTATCATACAGCATGTGACCTTTTGAGTTTGACCCTTTTTCACTTAGCATAATGCCCTTGAGATTCATCCAAATTGTTTTAAGTATCAATAGGTCTGTTCCTTTTTATTGCTGAGTAGTAAGTATGAGGGACATTTTGGTTATTTCCAGTTTTTTGCTATTACCAGTAAACCTACTATGAAAACTTATGTACAGGTTGTTGGACAAACATAAGGTTTCATTTCCCTGGAATTAAGTGTCCAAAAGTATAATTGCTGGGTGGCATGGTAAGGGTATGTTTATATTTTAAAAAAACTGACAGAGAACTTACCAGAGTGACAACCATTTTACTTTCCCACCAGCATTGTATGAGTGACCCAGTTTCTTTGTATCCTCAGTAACGTTTGGTGTTGTCCTTATTTTTTATTTTAGCTGTTCTAATAGGTGTATAGTGATATCTCATTGCAGTCTTACTTTGCATTTTCCTAATGGCTGCTGATGTTAAACATCTTTCCATGTGCTTATTTGCCATCTTTATATTCTTTTTTGTGAAGTGTCTCTTGATGTCTTTTGCCCATTTTCTAATTGGATTATTTGTTTTTTATGTGTATATATATTCGAGATATGAATCCTTTGTCAGATATGTGGTTTACAAATATTTTCTCCTGGTCTGTAGCTTGTCTTTTTATCTTTCATTGAGTTTTTAATTTTGATGTGGTCTAATTTATCAGTTTTTCTTTTTGTGGATCATGCTTTTGTTGTCATGTTTAATGCTTCACCTAGCCCAAGTTCCACAGATTTTCTCCTATGTGATCTTGTGCAAGTTCTATAGTTGTAGGTTTTATACTTAAGTATGTGATCTATTTTGAGTTAATTGTTTATAAGGTATGAGATTTAGGTAGAGGTTTATTTTTTTGCCTATAGATGTCCAACTGCTCCACCACTGTTTGTTGAAGACTATTATTCCTCCCTGATACTGCTTTTTCACCTTTGTCAAAAAATCATTATGGCTGTTGTCTTAGTCATCTAGTGCTGCTGTATCAGAAATACCACAAGTGGATGGCTTTAAAAAAGAGAAATTTATTCTGTCACAGTCTTGTAGGCTACAAGTCCAAATTCAGGGAATCAGTTCCAGGGGAAGCCTTTCTCTCTCTGTTGGCTCTGGAGGAATGTTCTTGTCATCAATCTTCCCCTGGTCTAGGAGCTTCTCGGTACTGGGACCCCAGGTCCAAAGGACGCTCTCTGCTCCAGGCACCGCTTTCTTTGTGGTATGAAGTCCCCCTGTCTCTCTGCTTGCTTCTCTCTTTTATATCTCAAAAGAGATTGGCTCAAGACACAACCCAATCTTGCAGATTGAGTCCTGCCTCAATGTAACTGCTGCCTATCCCACCTCATTAACATCATAGAGGTAGGATTTACAACACATAGGAAAATCATATCACTTGACAAAGTTGTGCACAATCACACAATACTGGCAATCATGACCTAGCCAAATTGACAAGCGTGTTTTCGGGGGACACAATTCAATCCATGACAACAGTACTTACATAAGGGCTATTTCTAGATTCTCTATTTTGTTCCATTGATCTGTATGTTTATCTTCCACCTGTATCACACTTGATTAATGTAACTATATAATAAGTTTTGAAATTGGGTGGAGTGAAATCTCCCACTTTATTCTTCCTTTTCTGAGTTGTTTTATCTATTCTATTTCCATTGCATTTCTGAATAAATAAATAAATAAACTTTTCTATATCTATGGAAATATCTTCCTGGGATTATTATGGGAATTGATTTAACTCTGTGTATCAGTTTGGGGAGAATTTACATCTTTACTATGTTGAATCTTCCAGTCTATGAGCATGGACTATCTCTCTATTTAGATCCTCTTTGATTTCTTTTAGCAGCATTTTATAGTTTTCATTATCTAAGTCTGTACAGGTTTTGTTAGATTTATACCTAAGTATTTAATTTTTTTCGAGTGATTATAAATGTGTTGTATTTTTAATTTTAGTTTGCACGTGCTCGTTGCTAGTGTTATTGTTGTTGTTAGGTGCTGTCAAGACGGTTCTGACTCGTAGCAACCCCAAGTACAACAGAACGAAACACTGCCATCCTCATAATCGTTGTTATGCTTGAGCACATTGTTGCAGCCACTGTGTCAATCATTCTCATTGAGGGTCTTCTTCTTTTTCACTGACCTTCTACTTTACCAAGCATGATGTGATTCTCCAAGGACTGATCCCTCCTGATAACATGTCCAAAGTATGTGAGACTAAGCCTCACCATCTTTGATTCTAAGAAGCATTCTGGCTGTACTTCTGAGACACATTTGTTCATTCTTTTGGCAGTCCAGTGGTATATTCAATATTCTTCACCAACACCATAATTCAAAGGCATCAATTCTTCTTCTGTCTTCCTTATTCATTGTCCAGTTTTGCATGCATATGAGGCGAGTGAAAATGAAGTATAATTTATTTTTATTGTGCTTTAGATGAAGGTTTACAGAGCAGATTAGTTTCTCATTAAACAATTCATACACCTAATGTTTTGTGACATTGGTTGCCAACCCCGTGGTGTGTCAACAGTCTCCACTTCTCGACCTTAGGTTCCCATTTCCATCCCTCCAGCTTTCCTGCCCCCCCGCCCCTGCCTTCTTGTCCTTGCTCCCGGGCTGGTGTGCCCATTTGGTCTCGTATTCGTGGTTGAGCTACGTGTGTTATTGTTTGTTTTATGCACCTGTCTAATCTTTGGCTGAAGGGTGAACCTCAGGAGTGACTTCATTACGGAGTTAAAAGGGTATCCAGCACCAATACTCTCAGGGTTTCTCCAGTTTCTGTCAGACCAGTAAGTCTGGTCTTTTTTTGTGAGTTAGGATTTTGTTCTACATTTTTCTGAAGCTCTGTCCAGGACCTCCTATTGTGTTCCCTGTCAGAGCAGTCAGTGGTGGTAGCCAGGCACCATATAGTTGTGCTGGACTCAGTCTGGTGGAGGCTTGGTAGTTGTGGTCCACTAGTTAATTTATTTTTTTATGTTAATCTTGTATCATTTGAACAATAAACTCAAGCAGATTCCTTGGGATTTTCTATGTAGACAATTATGTTACCTGCAAATAGGGACCGTTCTATTCCTTCCTTTCTCATCTGTATTCCTTCTAATTCCTTTTCCTTAATGCTGTGGCTAGAACTTGCAGTACTATATTGAATAGCATAGCAGTAGTAGAGTGGACATCCTTGCCTTTTTCCTGATCTTAAAGGAAAAGCATTCAGTCTTTCAGCATTAAGTATGGCATTAAGTACGATGTTAGCTGTAGGGTTTTTGTAGATGTTCTTTATCAGTTAACTGTATTCCTAGTTTTCCGAGAGGTTTTTTTTCTTATATCATGAATAGATGTTGGATTTTCTCAAATACTTTTTCTTCATCAGTTGATATGATCATGATTTTTTAAAATTTATCCTCTTAATGTGGTAGATTACATTGACTGATTTTCAAACATTGAATCAGCCTTGCATCACTGGAATAAAATCCTACTTGGTTATAATATATAATTCTTTTTACATATTGCTGATTTTTTTTTTTGGTAGCATTTTACATTCCCACCAGCAGTCTATGTGGGTTC